ATCAGGCTTCTCATTCTTCAAGATGTTTCTTCACAACGACAAAATCAATCTGTAGAAGTTCTGTAGAGCTTGAAGATCTCAGAGCTGTTGTGTTCAGAATAACGTCTGAACACCTTCTTATATACATAGTAGGAGACGTATTCCTCATAAAGGTATTCATGAAAATCCATTTCTGAGTATCAGCATTGTAGAATCAGAGTCGTTTTTAGCTCTTCCTTTTCCTCTTCCTTTTTTCTGCTTTACCACTCATGCAAGAAAGTGGAAGGTACTTTTCATTCAAATTCGATGAAAATGTGCTTCAAGGGAACAACACACAACTTCCTTTTTTCAGGCCTGTCATGCTAAATGTGATGATTTTATAATCAAATCTGAAATGTGCTATCACCAAATATCAGATGCTAAACCTTCACTCCTTGCATGCTCACAAGTAAACCCAAAGACCTTGATTAACTGGTTCAGGTGTGTTTTATTGCAGTTAGCATTAACGCACTGTTTTTAAACTTTAGGGGTGCTTAGCTCTCAATGAGGATGTGAAGCAAATGCCCTCTAACTTCTATCTCTGATAGTCTACCATGGTCTATCTGGTGCCTCTTTGTAAATCAGAGCCATTATGTTAAACATGAGGCCATCTACACAAAACACACTGCGCATTAGCCTCCCTTCTGTGCCAGAAAAAAAAAAATCACTTGCTCATTCAACAACAATCTGAAAATGTGGAGATTCTGCTTTGAAAAATGACCCTAATATTAACACACACCTACAGAATTACCTCCAACAACTGTGTGATTTATTTGGGAGTTAAACATTCACTTTAAATTATTTTCAGTCAGACTAAAAGGGGCAGTTGTGGTCTAATGGTTAGAGAGTCGTGGGTTCAGTTCTCATTCCGGCATTCTCAGTACCTTCCATCCTCATTACCCACAGCTGAGGTGCCCTTGAGCAAGGCACCTAACCCCAATTGCTCCCCGGACGCTACAGCAAAAATGGCTGCCCACTGCTCAGTGTGTGTGTGTGTCCACAGAGAGTGTGTGTGTGTGTGTGTGTGTGTGTGTGTTCACTACTCACTGCTGTAAGTGCAGAGGACAAATTCCAAGTATGGCTTGATTACCATACTTAGCCTACATGTCACATAACTTTTTAAAATATATCACCTTTTTCTGACTAAAACAAAAGGGAGCATCTCTCAAAATTTCTAAAGATCCATCCGCAGATCTGCAGGGTACTTTTAAGAACTCACAAGACAACTTGCGTTCCTCAGAAACTTCTTGTACATATTTTTTTCTTTCATCGTTTTTGTTTTAGACTGCTATTATATAGCAAACAGTTCAATGTAAATGGTAATCTTACCATTGCAGAGGACAAATGGTTTTTAAATGGTTTTTATTATAGTCTAATACTTTGGGAAATCTTTGCATAATATCTAATGTAGCCTAGTGTAGTTTCATCTTTGTTCTTTCTCATTTAAAGCCTATATAAGACTGAAAACTTCCACCACTAGATTTCAGTATACAGCATGACAGTACAAGGAAAGACACTACTGTAGATATTTAATTTCTAATTCTATTAATATAATCAAGTATTTAGTATTTAGTGCTCAAATGAGAAGAGAAATGTGTTGCTAAAGCAGATTAGTTTAGACATTTCAGTCAGATTTAGACAATTCACGTTAGTCTCAGTGAGATATTTAAAAAAATGCTTTGCTTATTCTTTAATAGTATAGTAACAATACCAAATAAATTAATTAAAAGAATAATAAAATGCAGAATACTGTAGAACATGCATTCAATAGAGGATTAAAACATCACTAAATGATAATAATTTTGTCATTTATATTTTATTAAAAACTTAACCCAATTACATGAATTTTTCTGTAAATAAAATATTTTATATTTACATCAGAAATAGCACAATGGTGGAATTTACAACATGAAAAGCACAGTTTAAATAAAAAATATGTAGCTTCGTTTAGACTGTTGTTCTGCTGTTCAGTTTCTCAACATGGCTGTTCACCCAGGTGCTCTCTGGATCTACACAGTGCTTTTTCCCCTTTTGTGTCTGAAACCTGGAAAATTATACAAAAACAACATTTAGATAAAATGTTTTTAATGGAGTGTCTAATTTAGGTTAACCTTGCAGTTTAAAATGAGATTGATGACACTCACACAATGGCCTGCATGGGACAGTTGCTGCTGGTATGGTAGTAAGACACCACCAGTTTCAGAGGAATCTTCACATTAGTGAACGCTATACAGCAGTTTTCCACATGAAATGAGAAGGGAGCTGAAATATAAAGACATGCAAAATATCACAAATTTATACCATGATAATGCAACAAAAAAAAGGATTCGAAAAATGCAACAAATGAAACTAAGCCTACCATAAATGATCTGAAATCAATATATTTTTCTTGATTCAAAATGAAAGCCCTCACCACTTGAAGTCATCTGCACAGAGCAGAAGAGCACCGGGAACAGCACACACATCAGGCTTCTCATTCTTCAAGATGTTTCTTCACAACGACAAAATTAATCTGTAGAAGTTCTGTAGATCTTGAAGATCTCAGAGCTGTTGTGTTCAGAATAACGTCTGAACACCTTATATACATAGTCAGAGACATATTCCTCATAAAGGCATTCATGTAAATCCATTTCTGAGTATCAACTTTGTAGAATGAGGGTCGTTTTAGCTCTTTTCTTCCTTCATCCTTTTTCTGCTTTGTCGCTCATGTGAAAATGTGGCAAGTACTTTTCTTTCAGATTCTCTGAAAACGTGCTTCAGCAAAACAACACATGACTTCCTCTTTTTCGGGCCAGTCAAGCTCAGCATTAAATGAACTAAATCAGAAGATTTTACGATCAAATCTGAATTGTGCTGTCACCAAATATCAGGTGCTTAAGCTTGACCCCTTTGCTCACAGGTTTACTTGATTAACTGGTTCAGGTGTGTTTAATTAAAGTACTAAACTTAAGTTGTACCACCAGGAACAGGGCTGAGAACCCCTGCTCTAAGAAAGCAAAACCACTTCTTGTTTCTTGTGACACTTGTTGGTCTAATAGAGAAGTTTGAATAATTCAGCCACCAGTTAAACTGGTTCACAGAATTAAAATATGCAAATGTAATGACAGGAAATAGGCAGCAATACAAAAACAATACATTTTGTCTTCATTCAAAACTGAAAATGAAAAAGAGCGCTCACCAATCTGCACAGAGCAGAAGAGCAGCAGGAACAGCACACACATCAGGCTTCTCATTCTTCAAGATGTTTCTTCACTAACAGTAATTAAGTGTGATTTCTGGTCATATAACTTCTTAAAAGCACCACATATTATGTTTAATTTAAAAAGATTATAAAAATGTAAACGTCAGTATTTTTATTATGGTAAAATAGATTTGTCTTTACAACGGCATTTAACAGTTTTTTTTAGTGCTCAGAGAAGGGATACAGTTGAGGATATTGTGTAGCTTGAGATGACTCAAAGTGCGTTTCATTCGACAGTAAGTGCCCTGTGAAGTGGACTTGATGGTATTCCACCAATTTAAGCGAGATTCCAATCAGAAGGGAGTGAACATGTTCAGTTTGAAGGACAATTGACTCACCAGTCATTACGGATCTCTTCAGTACTGAAAAAGTGTGAATAATGTAAGCACAGTAAAAATTAGTTAAGGCTACTGCAAATTTTTATTGAGCTTAACCCCTTCAGACCCTGCGGCCATTGAAATGGACATCACATGATTTTTTTTTTCCAAACCAATACAATTTTATGTTTTTATAATATGAGTAATGCCTGGTCACTGATTGGTACTTAATCTACCGATCACAATGACGATATGACTCCTAACTTAAAGGGTTAGTTCACAAAAAAATAAAAATTAGCCCATAAATTACTCACCCTCTAGTCATCCTAGGTGTATATGACTTTCTTCTTTCAGACGAATCCAGTCGGAGTTATATTAAAAATTGTCTTTGATCTTTCAAGCTGTTTAATGCCACTCAGCGGGTGTTGCAGTGCATCAGTCCAAAAGAAGTTAAATAAAAAGCTCCCATCCTTAAAAAAAGTGTCTCACACGGCTCCGGGGGGTGAACAAAGGCCTACTGCAGCGAATCGATGTGTTTTTGTAAGAAAAATAACCATATTTAAAACGTAATCAATTTAATCTAGCTTGCGCTCACTGTTGTACACGGAAGCAGCTCCGGGCGGATGAGCGCCGCTCAGAAGTGACGCATGCGGAAGCGCAGCGGAGAGATCAAAACAAAACAACGGTCACTAATTAGAAGTACAAAACGAGGATTTGTAAAGAAGAATGTCGGAGGATTTCGATATAAGCCAAGAGGAGACTGGTTTTCCTTTGCTAAAGTAAGGAAACTTTGCTTCCTTTGCTCCTGTAAACAAACGTTGGTTTTCACGAGGCTCACCGGCGCATGCGCAACGCCGACATCTTACATCATCCTCCCGGAGCTCCTTCCGTGTACAACTGTTGGCGCAAGCTACGTTAAAGTGATTATTACATTTTGAATATGGATATTTTGTTTGTTGAAAATGTTTAATGTTTAAAAAAAAAGAATTCAGATGTGTGTATCTTCTAAATTCTGTTGATGATTAGATTACTGCTCTAACATAACTCTTCATTTAACGTTCAACTAACAAGAAATAAACTTCTTTTCTGTCTAGTAGTGATCGTCTCTTTCACTCCCAACTGATTTGTGTAGGCCTATGTAGTGCATATTTAAGGTAAAATGCAATACATAATATTATTAAGATTATTTCGGTTTGTGTGTGTTCACTGCTGTGTGTGTGCACTTTGGATGGGTAAATGCAGAGCACTAATTCCGAGTATGGGTCACCATACTTGGCCACATGTCACTTCACTTCACTTCACACTTTAATATGATAAATATCTGTAGTCAGCATTGATAAAATGGGAGGGGGAAATCCTGCCCATACCCAGCTTGGAAAAAAATAATAAAAGCACTGATGCTCATTTTACTGAAGTGGTATTCAGGAACTGTGAATAAATTACTGAGCAAATTACTGCAAAATAATAATATAATAATAATATCACGGCTATAATATCATCCTCAACAAACAAAAAAGAGATTGCCTAGATAAAGTTTGATTAATATCAAATATATTAATATATATATTAATATTGAAAAGTACATTCAATAGTTTGGACACATTACTGTTTTTATTGTTTTTGAAAGAAGTCTCTTATGCTCATCAAGCCAGCATTTATTTGACCAAAAATACAGAAAAAAACAGTAATATTCAGCAAGGATGTGTTAAATTGATAAAAATTTATAACAAAGACTTATATTGTATAAAATATTTATTTTCTTTTTTTTTTTTATCAAAAAATCCTGAAAAAAAGTATCAAAGGTTATAAAATAAATATTAAGCAGCACAACCTTTTCTAACATTTATAATAAATCAGCATATGAGAATGATTTCTGAAGAATCATGTGACACTGAAGACTGGAATAATGATTTGCTGAAAATTCAGCTTTGCATCACAGAAATAGAGTATATGTGACCATGGACCACAAAACCAGTCTTAAGTCGCTGGGGTATATTTGTAGCAATAGCCAAAAATACATTGTATGGGTCAAAATTATAGATTTTTCTTTTATGCCAAAAATCATTAGATTATTAAGTAAAGATTATGTTCCATGAAGATATTTTGTAAATTTCCTACTGTAAATATATTAAAACGTCATTTTTGATTAGTAAGATGCATTGCTAAGAACATCATTTGGACAACTTTAAAGGCAATTTTCTCAGTATTTTAATTTTTTTGCACCCTCAGATTCCAGATTTTCAAATAGTTGTGTCTCAGCCAAATATTGTCCTATACAAACCATACATCAATGGAAAGCTTATTTATTCAGCTTTCAGATGATGTATAAATCTCAGTTTAGAAAAATTGACCCTTATGACTGGTTTTGTGGTCTAGGGTCACATATTTTAAAGTATAGTAAAATAGAAAACCATTATTTTAAATTGTAATAATATTTCACAATATTACAGTTTTTTTCTGTATTTTTGATCAAATAAATTCAGGCTTCATGAGCATAAGAGACTTCTTTCAAAAACATCAAAAATAGTAATGCATCCAAAACTTTGACCGGTACTGTATGAGTAAAAACATACAAATTTTAAAATGAAATGTATAAATAAAAAGGTTAAGAATAATATTGGTTTCAAATGCTTTTTATTGGGGGTGGGGGCATCCAACATTAATTTTGCCTATAGGGCCTCTAAATGTCTAGAATCCGACCTCAACAGATATTGTTTTTTTGTCCACTTTATGAACAAGGTGGCTTACCCAGGTCGTCTTTGGATCTACACAGATCTCTCTCCCTGCAACTGTCTTAAACCTAAAAAAAAAACACAAAAACATGATTTAAGTCAAAGACTTCAGAAGAGTGTCTCATTGAGGTTCACGTTATAGTTTGAAAATGAAATAATAACTAAGATGACACTCACACAATAGCGTGATTGGGACAGGTGCTGCTGGTCCAGTAGTAAGACACCACTTGCTTTAGAGGAATAATCCTATAATTGAACTCTACACAGCAGTATGATTGTGCAATAATTGGATGGGGAGCTGAAATATGAAGATATGCAAAATATCACAAATTATTACTCATGCAAAAAAAATTTCAAGAAGATTTTAAGCTGTTATATCTTTATTTTTAAATCACCAAATGCAACAAATTAAACTAAACCTTCCATAAATATTCTGAAAACAATTCAAAATGCAAGAGTGCTCACCACTTGAAGTCATCTGCACAGAGCAGAAGAGCACCAGGAACAGCACACACATCAGGCTTCTCATTCTTCAAGATGTTTCTTCACAACGACAGAAAGAATCTGTAGCAGTTCTGTAAAGCTTGAAGATCTCAGAGCTGATGAATTCAGAAGGTAACACTTTACTTGAAGGGGTGTGCATAAGACTGACATGACACCTTCATAATCATGACATGACACATGTCATGAATTTGAAGGAGGTTTTATGCATGTTTATGACAACTGTCATTAAGTGTCATTCGCTCAGTTATGTCATTTTTAATGCAAAGATGACATTGTTTGAGATGTCTTTGTTATGGGCTATGGTTAGGGGCAAGGGTAGGGGTAGGGTTAGGGTAGGGTTAGGCCAAATAATGTCATATTTGCATTAAAAATGACATAACTGAGCGAATGACACTTAATGACAGTTGTCATAAATATGCATAAAAAACCTTCACATTCATGACCTGTATCATGTCATGATTATGTAGGTGTCATGTCATGATTATGAAGGTGTTATGTCAGTCTTATGCACACCCCTTCAAGTAAAGTGTAACCATTCAGAATAACATCAGAGCTGGGCCGGATTATCCAATGGGCATTATGGGCACGGGCCCAAGCGAGGGGAAGAAAAAATGTTGACACTAAGTGCAAATAGCCCAACACTGTTTACACTAGCTCTGCCCACCAATGTCTGGTTGGTATAAACATTACTAAAGATGCGCGTCATGCAACAGGCTCAGTGGCCTGGGGCGTAAAGTGCATGTCTCAGTATGTTGACCTGATCAACCAGAGTTTGAATCCACCTTTTGCCGAACTCATTCTTCTCTTTTTTTCCCATCACATATCAGATCGAAAAAAGACATTTATTTTCAATAAAAATGAAGGAAATATTTAAAAAATGGAAATATTTCACTAAAAGAGGAGAGGAGGAGAGTAGAGAAAATAGGGGGAAAGGAGGAGAGAGACAGACAAAGGGCCTCCTTCATAAAAAACATAAGCAGAACAAATTTTTGTATAAATCGTTCGAAAAGCCATTCTGACGTAAACTTTTGAATTCATGAAAATGTTAATATTTTCAAAATATTAGTTGGTACGAAAGAAATCTACACCTGCTTCCTACCACGTGTAAATGGTGCATAAAACATTCTGTGTTCTTTTTGGCAAACTGCTGACACTGAATTTCAATGCACTGCCATAAAATATTCCCTCTAATTTTTTTTCTTGCTGAGCAAAAACTTTCCCTATATTGGGCAGATATTTTGGCCACCTGAGCAAAAATATTCTTTATACCAGACCTGTCCAGCACACACAAAAAAGTGTGTAACTTTGAACTGTAATGTGCTCTTTATATTTGATTTGACCCTTGATGTAACTAAATGATGCCCATTTTAGGTTACACGAGAAACATTTTTTAACAGTGCTTTGTTACTTACCAAGAAATTCTATTTAAAAATCATTGAAAAAAATCTCACGCAGAGGAGTTATATTCTTTATAATAAAATAACATAACATAATATAGCTAATATCAATGTTCCCTAATTTTTTTTCCCTATTGGATGGACATTTCGGCCACCTGAACAAAAGTATTCTTTATACCAGACCTGTCCAGGACACATAAAAAAAGTGTGTAACTTTTAACTGTAATGTGCTATTTATATTTGATTTGATCCTTGATGTTAATAGGCTAAATTAAAACATTTTACCTGAGAAACCATTTTTACAGTGCTGTGTTACTTACCAAGAAATTGTATTTAAAAATCATTTAAAAAACATCTCACGCAGAGGAGTTCAATTCTTTATAATAATATAATATAATACAATGTAATATAATATAATATAGCTAATATAAAAAAATGAAACAGATATTGTTCGTGAATTCCCTTTTTGAGGTCAATTATTTATTAGGCTTATAATATAGTATAATTGTCACCGTCCCGTCTGTACCCCTGCCTGTTTCTACTGTGTTTTCCCCATGGACTCCATTACTCACAATTCTTCACGCTCCCTTACCTGTCTCTTGTCATCAATTACTCTCACCTGCCAGTGATCTCTTCATCACCATGACATTATATATACTTTCTATGGTCTCACCAATATTGTCTGGTCTCATATATGTGTAGTGGCATATGGTTTATCTCCTGTTTGAATCGTTGTTTTGTTAATAAATCTTCTATTATTGAAGCTCTCCGTGTCTCTGGTCTGTAGCAAGTTGTGACAGAAGACCAGACCACAATATGGATTACAACAATGGCTCTCCACAGGAGTATCTGCTTCTCCATCTCTGCCAAGACGGCCGTCCTCTGGAGAGTTGTGCCTGTGGCACGGCCACGAAGATTGGACAAGAGAGGCGCTCTTCCTGCTCCAGTTATGGCCGTTTCCAGCCTCCTTGCTATGGCCACCGCAACCTTCTCCATCTCCTTCGCTTCCTACTCCAGCATCACGGCCACGACGACTGTTTCCATCTTCTCTACTCCCAAGCTCCCGGCACCTCCATGGCCTCCCTGACTCCCGGTGCTGATAGCACCGTCCTGTCCTGTCTGTCCTCCACCAGCCTCCAGGATGCCCACCCCCCTCCCTGGTTGTACCATTTAGGCGCGAGGACGCGCCTTCCAGGAGGGGGGAGTACTGTCATGGTCCCATCTGTTCCCCTGCCTGTTTCTCCTGTATTTTCCCCATGGACTCCATTACCCATAATCCTTCACGCTTCCTCACCTGTCCCTCGTCATCAATTACATTCATGTGCCAGCAATCTCTTCATCACGTCTATGTGTAGTGGCATATGGTTTATCTCCTGTTTGAATCTTTTTGTTAATAAATCTATTATTGAAGCTCTTCGTTTCTCTGGTCTGATAATAATATAAATAAACAAACAAATATTTTCAATAAATATTTTCAAAAAATGTGAACATGTGAATTCTTTTTACAATTATCTAAACAGCCCCATGTAGTACAGTTTGCACCTGTACATTTCTCGGAGTTTTGTTTAAGTTCTGTCCCCATCATCCTCTATTTCCACAACTTAATCAAGCCACTGTTCTTTAAAACATGACGCTTTATTTCACATGTCATTACGTTCACGTTGGCTCTCGTGTTGAGCTATTTCGTCCGCAACCATTAAAGTATTCGATTTCTAAGGCGACTCATTTGGCACACATCATTCTTTTTCTATGAAACCTGTAAATCGCATTTACTGGTTCTTACTCTATATAGCAACATCAACTCTATAGTGGTTTGCCTGATCATTGCAATTGTTTCGCACTTAACTAGACTTCAAACACATGGCTTTCCCAACTTAGTTTTGAGTCTGTCCTGTGCGCTTCATATAATTTCTTCTGCATTCGACAAATGAAGTTCGAATGAAGCAGGAGAATCTTGTTCGCTCTGTCACCGCTCCATAGGTGGACAGTACATTTACTTGAGTAGCCTACTGTACTTAAGAACACTTTTTGAGTATATGTATTGTACTTGAGTATAATTTTTTCTGGAAACTTATGACTTTAACTTCACTACATTTGAAAGACAAATATCGTATTTTTCACTCCACTACATTTCTATTAATGTCCTCAAAGTAGAAAGTCATTACTATGTAGCAGCTTTAAAAGTCAGTGGGTGATTTTTTCTTCTCTTAAACGTGGCGTTTTTTTCTTTCTTTTTTTTTAGACAGCCTATCAGTAATCACTCTTGTAGGGTTATGTGAAGTGTTTTCCCAGCATTTTGTGAACACTGACCAGTTGCAAATGTGATATTTATTTACTACAATTCAATAATAAGTTAATATTGTGGTATATATTAGACACAATATTATCTAATTTTGCTAAATTGTGTAAATCGAAAATAATACCTTTAAAGCCACAGAAGAACCGTCTCCTAACAAAATGAGCTTTTTTTTGCTTTTTTGTTAAAGCAGTGTTGCTGTTGTAAAGTTATACAGATACAGTGGTGTTGCTAGGTTTTAATTTCACTGTCTACTCAGTTCAAATGTGGATGAATGGCTACAGGTAGATGTGTGCACACACTGCCAGCGCTGTGTGACATCACTACCATCCTGCTTAGGAATAAGGTATTGCAAGTATTACATACAACAATAACAGAACAATAATAAAACATTCCGTTGACATAAAAAAGGAAATTTACTTTAGGTACTTAAGTACTTTTAAAAGCAAGTATACTTCTATACTTTTACTCGAGTAAAAATCTGTCTTTACAACTTTCACTTGTAATGGAGTAATTTATGACCAGCAGTATCTGTACTTTTACTCAAGTAGTGGATTTGTGTACTTTATCCACCTCTGCACAGCTCTTCTGATGGTATGAAGCTGGTGCATTGAAGCTATTTGATTGCATTAAAGCTCTTCAACCTCCATCCGATATGAACATGCCAAAATAAACTAACCTTTGAATTGTCCACACAAAAGTCACTACACAGTCAGCATTTCACAACTCAACTCCAGAATAAATAAAACCCTTTATGGTTGTTAACTGAGAGCCATTGCACATTAATAAAGTAAAAAATGTAAAAACACACATGTAACACTATGTAGCTATCCAAAATGATGTCTAAGCATTTTATTATATAAGAGAGAATATTCATCTAAAGACATTCTTGTAAATCCATTTCTGAGTATAAAGATTCTGAGTTTAAATTATTAGGGGTCTTCGTACAAAGTACTGGAACCCTGCTGTATTTGTATTTGTTGTTGTTGTTGTTGTTATTCTTCCTTTCCCTCATCTTTTTTCTGCTTTGTTGTGCATGAGGATGTGGAAAATACTTTTCTTTCAGAATCACAGAAAATGCAAAAATAACATGGCCTACAGCTTCCTCTTTTTCAGGCCTGTCAGCTCTAAATGCACTAAATCAGAAGATCTTCATTATCATCTGCTTTCACCAAAACTTAGGTGCAAAACCTTGACGCCTTACAGAAAACCCAAAGACCTTGATTAACTGGTTCAGATGTGTTTAGTTAAAGCACACATCTCAAGAAGACAGACCAGCAGAAATAGGACTGAAAACAAGCCATATATATATATATATATATATATATATATATATATATATATATATTTTGTT